GCTTTGTTTTACAAGCGGCGCTTCTCCAACTATAACCTGACTTTTTATAACCTCGGAAATGCTGACTGCCACTGCTTCCTGTGGAATGAAAGCCAAAGTAAGCGTGGAAGCTCAGAAATATCCACAGCTGTGTTCGAATGGCTTCAGCACTATGACAGTTGTGGAAAAAAGATAGCATACCTCTTTCGGATGGCTTCCAGGGCAGAACAAAAACACTATCATTCCAACAATGTTGCTACACGCTGTGAACACGCTTCCAAATCTCAAAGAGATCTCCCTGCGGTTCTTTGTGACAAACCACGGCCAAAATGAGGGGGACTCTGTTCATAGCACTATCTCCTCTGCGATGTCTGCAGCTGGGAATGTTTGTGTACCAACAGAGCTGACACCCATATTCAGACTTGCCAGAGCAAAGCAGCCTTACATCGTGATACCACTTGAGTTCTCTGACTTCGGGAATTTCAAGAAACTATCACTCGACCTGCGTGCTCTGGGAGTTCAAAGAGATTCAGAGAATGACCCTATCAACTGGAACAAAATGATGGAGTTCAGAGTTCTGAAGGAGTGCCATACAACAATATTCTTCAAAACCAGCCATATTGAGTCAGAGTACAGAACAATCCAATTGAAGAGACACACAAAGCAAACCACAGAGAGTTTCACTCTCTTCAAACTCAACACAGAACCAACCAAAGTTCTAATGGCTAAGTACAATGACTTAGTGTCGCTCTGCTCTGGCGTAACGCGGCAACGCCTGTGGTAAGACAAGCTGATCACAGGGCTATCTATTTTTCACTCCTCCATTAAATTCTACTGAGATATTCTTGGATACTCAGTGTTACTTACTGATACATCTACATTATGTGAATTTCTGTCGAACATGGTTACAGTTCAAATGAGCAAAAACAGCTCCAAAATATGTCTTTATTTGTTCAAATTGTCTTCTATAAACTGTGAAAATCATTATGAGATCTCATGTTTTTTATGCCATTGTGATTTGCTTTTTTCATTTTGCGTATTATGAAACAAAAATTAGAAACTGTTTTTCCTTCCTGCAATACAAAGGAAATATAATGATACGACACTTGGTGAGATATCCATTGATGATGGGACCGGTGAAGGTATATCTCACGAAGTGACGTATCGTATTTTCTGCCGATTTTCTCACAGGAATGATACAATACTGCCGAAAACACCATGTGGAGTTTAAATGTACCGCTCAAAGAAGCTTTGATCCAAACCGCATAGATTCCAGTCTTCCGGTTTCGACGCCAGAGCAAAAAGAAAAGTGCCCAAAACTTTAAACTTAAACCTCTCTCCCTAGTTTTGCAAATACGAAACTTAGTGAGATGACCGACGAATTATATAATCGCTAAAACGCGCAGCGCAGTCTTAAAACTGCCCCACTATGTTAAGATTGCCACGCAATTATACGATCGTTAAAACGTGCAGCGCAATATGTTAAGACCTGGTAAATTGCGCGGAACACACACACATACACAGATATCATTATCATACGTATGCACATAATAGTAGATCTATGCAGTTCTACATTTACAAATGAATAACAGAGTAGACTATTCAAGCAAAATATTGCTTACACTCTTTCTGACTAAAAAGGACAAAAAATGAGACTCATGTCAATTTCAAAAGGGCCTTAATTATTACAAATAAAATAGATTACAGTGGAATTCAGGACCGAAAAAAAAAGTGTTGACTTTGAGCAAGGTTGACTTTATCCATTGTACGACTCGCCATTGAAAATTGAAGATGACAGCTACAAAATTTCAGTGAGTATAAATCTGAAGTTGTCACCAAAACAAGAGATAATGAGTGAACAGAGTAATTGGAGGTGTGTGCACCACTAGCTCACGCACAATAATATATTATTATCGAAGATTACATTCAACCCCCCCCCCCCCCCCCCCCCCCCCCCCCCTTTCCTTATTACTCTACCAGTTTCTTTGGACTCAGTGACTGAGAAGGCCAAGGCCTACCCGCGCGCGCGAGTCGATGATTATTATGTTTGTAGTTGTAGTGAGCGGTTGCTATAGATCCAGTGCGCATGTTTGCATGCATGCATATATATTATATTATTATAATTGTAGTAATAGTAATACTATTAGTGTGGTTTCAACAACGTCTGAGGACAGTGCACGTTTTTATCTTTTATGGGGTAGATCTAAGTTACTCACGGCAGAAAAAGATTTATTAAATATAGTAAAGATTCAACACAAATTTATCTTACTTTATGAAACGTAGTTTAAAGGTTTTGATAATTTTGTTTGCACGAGCTGGGTTGAAGTTTGAACACGCGATATTGACTCTTGAGTGAGCAACAAGAGGGTTGCGACCGGCTAACAACCGACTTCGAGAGTTGGCGAATGCTGGCGGAAACAAGCGGAGGCGAGGAGACGACGAACGGAGGTATGCGATAGGCTAGGCGCACCATGTGACTGTATTTCTGCAAGTTCATTTGTTGATACATGATGAGCTACGTCATAAAGTTCAGCAATTTTCATTGGCTTCCTGTGACCCGCGAATCCAAAACTAACCAATCAGCACCCCTACAATAAGTCTCACTTGGCCACTACCGACTCCAAACACACTGGCGTGGGGTCGATTGTGGCTTTGTGAATGCTGTGGACTAGCGGATAGGCAAGGTAATGCTGTGTATTGGATTTATGTGATAATATTATTTCTAGATCGAGTAAGTACATGTTTTGGAAGGAGAATATTTTTGTGGTTATGTTCATTAAGTGTGGGATGTTTGTTTTTAGTTTTTTGTTGATTTGCGCTTGCGAACTAAAATTCAAAGTCCGTCGCCCAGGTCTTCAACGAAGGCTGGACGCGCCATGTTTTTCCTATGAGCGGCGACGCCAAAAATGACGTCCGCTCAATTTGCTTTTTTTCAACTCTCCTTATCTCGCTCTTTAGCGAACATGCATACAAGCGATATTATAACGATCTTCTATGGTGTGTTGGTACGAAAATCATGTGTTGGTACTGTTTACACATACACCGGACGAATATTTCACGTAACCCCGAAAGCGAGCTCTACCATTGTGGGCTATGGCAGCCCAAGCTTCCTTGCGTCTGCTGACAGCAGCCAAGGCTGCCGTTACTCCAATGCTAAAGCCTGAGTGCATAGCCTCTAGTACATGGCTGTGAGACAGGGCTCCGAAAACTTTAGCAAACATATTGTTTATGGTGTTTAAAATATATATGGTGTATCAGGACAGCAGTGGAGATGTTGTTCGTTAATTTTTATCGATGATTAGGGATATCTGACATTGGGGAGGTGGGTTTTGAGGTCGTTGTTCGCCGGGTTTTCGAGCCGCCATGTCAGCAGTGTTATGGCTCGGTCAGTGTTGTGGATTCCTTTACCGCAGCCTACCGCTAGGCCTAGGCCAGGCAATGCACAGCGTTCACCCGCGCATTGGTATTGGAGTTGGCTGCCCGCTCGAGTTACGCAGTGGTTTTCCGCAATTCTAAAGAAATCTACACGCATACGTAGATTTAAAATCTACATTTCGATATTGTTTTCAGGTTTTTCATTCCATTTTTTTCTTTACTTGTCTCAGTTGCTCTTTGTTCGAAGCTGCGAATATTCCTTGACCTATTTTCAATATTGAATATTGTTTGTGTGTATTATTTCTTAGAGCTTAGATAAGACAAGATTCTATGTTTGAAGTTTGAAGCCTCTCTTTAGTTTAGTTAATAGATTCTACTTGTTAATTTTTGTGTGATTGTAATCTTGTAACACAGGTATTCTACTTCTATTCTAGTTTTAGATATCTAGATATCTAGATCTATTTCTAGACTAATAGATCTGGATTTCTAGATCTCTAGATATCTAGATCTCTAGACTTGTTGGGTAGACTAGATATCTACTCTACTATCTAGATCTAGAGATTCTAGTGATGCCCACTGCACTTCTTCTATGTATTAGTACTATTAGGCCTAGACGTCTAGGCCCTCTAATTTTAGGCTGGAAGTTAGATCTCTGTAGTAGGGCTGGGTAGGCCTAGGGCTAGGCAAAGGTAATTGATGCAAAAATTATGCCTACAACTTTGATCTAGATTGTAGATTGTATGCCTAATCTTTTAAATTTCATTTTCAAAGCAGGAGTTTAGACTTAGATTAGAAACTAGAATCTAGATCTAATCTAGATCTAGATCTAAAGTTTGGGCTTAGATTAAGTATCGAAGTGGCTATTCGGACTCGAGTCCGAACAGCCGCTGGAGGCTATTATTCGGACTCAACTTACAGTGCGTGTGGGCAATCACCGGTTGTACCGTAAGCGAGGTCGGTCGCGGTCTATACTCGAGTCCGAATAGTCTCCCGTTTGTCTTCTGACCTTATTATGCATGCTACTGGTAGTGGGGTAGGTGGGGCGGGTGGTTGGGGTGGAGGAGGGGGGGGGGCTCAGGGGGTCACCCCCGGACAAAATTTTAATGAATAGATTTACCGATCCGAGATTCTCCATTGAGAGATATTGAAAACGGGAAAATTATGAATTCTTAAGGTTGAGACATAGGCAAAGTGAGTCTGCTGGTCCTGTATTCTTCAATCTTACCCTTTTTTTTTCCATATAGATCTAGATCTAGATCTATATTCCCTCCCATACTCATACCGTTGCCCACTGCCTGGCCCTATTATTATATCTTTTGTAAAGAAAAGACCACAGTTCACATTGGGTCGCCACGGTCGGCGTCCATTAAATGTTGGGCAGATAGTAGAAACCGAGGAAGGCCAAGGTCGAATTGCTTGTCTGCTTCACATTCGGTACACCTAGATCTAGAATCTAGTGATTGTGCACCACAGAATTCTACTCTTTGCGAAGACTGCTGTGTTGTGCACGCGCATTGGATTTGAGTCAGAATAGTCGGACGCGAATTCAGATTCGAGTCCGAATAGCCGTGGGAGCCACGGCCTTTAAGTATTGTTGATATTCTTTTACTTTGCCTCCCGTCTCACACTTACCTACCTGTTGTCCATTTTCTACACAATATTGATGCGCTGAACATGAATATCAACTTTATTTCCATCGTAAACTAGATCTGATAGCTTTTGAAATATATTGTTCTTAGTCTTAATCAAGCTATATCAAACTATGCCTACTGCATAGTAGAGTCTATAATTTGTTCGCTTTGGACTTGGACCAATTGGGGGGGGGGGGGGTTTCAAGGTCCTGCACAGCACAGTTTACTCCCCATTTCTCACGGCTTGTCCATTACTATCTTTTATAGTGTATTATGGTTTCAGGAAGTGATAAATGAAAAGTGTTTTTTGAAAAAATATATGTCAAAATATGATGTTGACAATGGCATGTTAAAGTAGGTGTAAGAATATTTTGCCACCATGGTATTGGCAGTACAAATTCTTCTGGGGCTATGGATTATAAATTCTCTGTAAGAATTGACCAGAGTGTTGCACTCACTCCTTGTAAAAAGAATGTCAAAATCAGACTTGAAGTGTTTTTGCTGCTGAGTTGTCCAAGACCAGGTACGGGACAAATTAATTGCGCTGCAACAGACTAGACTAGAGGGAAAGGAAAATTTTGAGTAGCTACTGAGTAAGCATATTGAAATGGGCTGATTTCTTAGTCTTCAGCTCTGCAGTAGAGAATCTCATGAGAGGAGAGCCCACTCAGACTGTTAAGTCTAAATGAATTGGGTGGAAGAGCTTTTTCTTCCTGTTCCCCTAAAATATGGAATTCTTTCCCAAGATAAATATATCATCAGAAGGAGAGTTTTATCCAACATTATCGCCAGTAAGTTTTGATTGAATGAGAGTGTGTGTGGGTCTGAGAGTTAGAAAGTGAGTTGTGAAATAATCTAGTGACACTCAGGAAGTCACAGGAAAAGAAATAATGGTGTTTTTATGACAACATACACATCGGACCCAACAGGTCACTTTTGGATTCTATTATTTAAAGAACCACAGACACCAGATAGCTACTATGAGCTGTCCGGCCAAGAACAAGTAATTATCTTCCGACTAAGAACACAGCACACAAGACTGAGACAACATAATAATGTTAGTACAGATGTTTTAAACTAGTACAATCACCAAAATGCCAGTGTGGTGAGGCGGACCAAACTGTTGAACACATCCTTCAGCACGGCAAGACACACAGGGCCCTGAGACAGGAAACGTGGCCAACCCCATTGACGCTACAACAGAAGCGATACGGGCCGACAGATGAACTGAGCAGAACGGCCCAATTTGTTACAGATACCAGACTTCAAGTGTGATTCGATTCAGAAGAAGGATTCAGTTGTCTTGTCTTGTGTTCCTACTGACAATGGTGTTTTTATCTTGTGCCTGTTTAAGTTTGTGTTGCCCAATAACTTTATTGAAGAACCCTGATTGATTCCATGTTTTTTTTTGTGTTTTTTTTTAATATTGCAGCTAAAAGCAATTACTGGCACCATGGGAAAGAAAGACGATTCAAAGCCGAGGGGACGTATGTCTTCATACGCCTTCTTTGTTCAAACCTGCCGTGAAGAGCACAAGAAAAAGCACCCGAATGACACTGTGGTCTTCACAGAATTCACCAAAAAGTGTGCTGAAAAGTGGAAGGTACTTTTAGTATTAAGTTCTGTATTGCTATATTATGTTCCTGAGAAATTTCCACGTCTTCTGTTTCCCCATCTATATGTGGGTTTAGTGAACTATATGAGGGATGGATGTGTTTTTAAAAAATTACAGACGAACCTTCCCTGACGGCCACCCCTATAAGATGGCCACCTGTACAAACGGCCACTTTCCATTTCCCCCCTTGCGTTTTTTTCTATATAATTTAACTGAGTAAAACAGGCGCCTGTCGGCCGCGGCCGCGACCACCACATTTTACCACACAACCCCTATCACACCTAACGATAATCCCCGTCTTAGACGGCCACCTTATTGACTCCCATTACGTTTTGTCATAAATTGTGCATTGGCCCCTAGCGTTGTGGACGAGCCCACATTCCGATCACCTGTCGTTAGTATTGTTAGGTAGTCCCTCCATCCGATCATGTTGCGTAGGCCCCTGCCACTGTTGACCAATAGGTAACAATATTTTCAGCTGCTGGTGAGGTAAGCGTGTAACCCCTCATAACCCATAAGCCCCGCCCAGAACTCGTACACAAATCCTAAGTGCGATGAGTGGTCACTGTTTGCCCAGTCTGTAACAAAGTCACCATGGACGTCAACATGAACTTGTGACAGAGGCGTCGGTTGTTCCCACGAGTGGTGGCGACCCGTATGTTTGTTTTACCATAGCACTCGGTCTTCCTTGTCTGGCACAATTCGTTTTATTGTCACCCTTGCACAAAAGAAGCAACAAAAGAAGAAAAACCCAGCGAAAACATCAACAACAACGATAACAATAAAAACAACAAAAACACATTGCGGCTACCTTCGGTTGGGACCTCAGAAAGGAATGGTTTGTTTTCTTCATCTTGATCAGTCCTGCCTAAGACGGCCACCTGTCTTACACGGCCACTTTTCTCATCAGCAATGGGTGGCTTTCTTACTCAGGTTCGACTGCATTGCAAGTGCCAGTGGTAGTATAGAAAAAATATATATCTTGATTTCTAATTCTTATTTATATTATAATTTTTTTGAAGGTGTTCTCTCTCTTTGATACTGGTTTGTAGAGATGGTATAGTCTTCTCCTCCAATTCTTTTTTTTTCTATCCTAATCTGCTTCCTCAAGAAATTTGACTGTTTTCTGTTGACTCTGTTAATCTCCTCTGAGCCATGTTCCGTAATTTCCACTGGTCAACCGATGCTGTATTTACTGAACTTTGGAATGTTAAATGTCACATTCTCTGTTGTCTTCAGGAAATGACTCCTAAAGAGAAGAAGAGGTTCGAAGACATGGCTGAAAGGGACAAAGCTCGCTACGAGAGAGAAATGTCATCCTATGTGCCTGCTGGAGGACAGTCAAAGAAGAGAAAAAGAACAAAGGATCCCAATGCTCCTAAGAGAGCTTTGTAAGTTTTAGAATATCTTTCACTTGTCTGTGCATTAGTATGTTCTGACAAAACTACCATTGTGTGGATAAAATAGCTGTCAACCAGTGCCTAAGAACATTTAAATGAATGTTTTTGAAGGTCTCAGTATGGAAGTCATTCTGTTTTCTAATATTTCTCCTCATGGACTTCCTTATGCTGAAGAATAACTTTGAACTTTCAAGACTGGATTTGCGAATGATAGTGAGAACGAAGCCCGAAAGTCACTTGGAGAGACCTGCTCTAGATCTAACATCAGACGTTTCTTCTGACGTTATTGCCGCCAGTATACTTTGAATAGCTTGCATTTATTCCATATTTAGAAAAGTGTATGAAGGGTTGGGGGGGGGGGGCGGGGGTAACTTGTTATACTCATGATCTTGGCTCGCCCCATAAGTAGAGTGTTTTTTTTTTGGTTTTTTAAAATGTTGGCAGCTATGGGATAACAATTTGCAATGACATTTTCAAGACTGTAGGACTTGGGTCTCAAACTCATGTCTCAATAGGGGCCAGCAGGATGATTTTTTGCAGCTCGTAGGCCTACTTAACATAATTATAATATAGAGTTATTGCAGCCCTCCCTCAAACGAAATGAACTACTATGTAAAAGGCATGGCAATGTCAAATGAAGTTATGTTCAAAAGAATAATTTTTAGAAAGGTTAGCATAGACCTGCATGTTTGCCGACAATCGTCTGAAATCCGACAATCGTGACGCGACCCGCGAGGCGGCCGATGCTATCGCTAGGCCCACCTGTATCAGTCAATGTGCGTAGTGCGAGGCCTGGCCGACTGCCAGCGTCCCCTTTTTCTCCCGTCGGCTTTGTCGGCACTTTCGTTTTCGTGCCGACCGCCGACGCGCGAACCGCCGACTGCCGACGTTTCCGACATAATTGTCGGAACCTGAGTAGAAATGCGAATACGAAAAAAGACGACGACCTAAATTATCTACTTTCAGTTTCGTGCTCGAACGGTCATTTTGAATTTCGCTTTGTTGACAAATTCAATTGTTCAGATCGTGTGGATTCATTCCAGTCCGACTCACTTAGATAATAGAATCTAGATCTAGATCTAGATTTATATAGATCATTATAGACCTCAGTGGAGGATTCATATTCCAATTCTATTTTGTCAAACCCTATCAAAGGTTGTGCTGTAATATTGTTGGTAAAAGGCATTTCATCAGGTGCGTGAATTATTTATTTATTTAGAATCTAGACTCAGCTGAGCCCCTCTGTTCGGAATCGGATGCGGATTTCTAGTCAAGGCCTATTCCTAGATCCTATTCACTTGTTCTTCTAGATCTAGATCTAGATTTATTTAGTTTACTAGATCTAGATCTATATGGAGGATTCATATTCCAATTCTATTGTGTTATTGTATCAAACCCTATTATTATAGATCTAGCAATATGTAGATGTAGGCCATTATATTATGCTCCTTGTAAGCCTTGTTTGTTTTGGAGTGGTTTTTTAATTTTAAAAATGTTTTTCATTTTGGACTTGTGCTGGCCTTTTCACTTGAGGCTCGTTGCAGGTTCTTTTTTGGGGTAGGCCTAGGGGTAGGGTTAGGTCTCTTCTTTGTTGTGTTTGTTGGGGTGGTCGCTCGTTACTCGGAAGTCCTCCTTCCTTATGACACCCACAAAAGCTCTTTTGGGAGGGGGGGGGGGTTGCGCAAAATTTTCAGACAATCTGGTTGAGGCTCACATGAAGGTCTAGTTAGCAACAACCTTCATGTTTTCTCATTGGATTCTTTTGTGACTACATTACCCTGGTAGTAAGCATACACCTATTCTGTAGAAAAGATTAGGTTTAAATTTCATTTCTCCCTTTCAGGTCTGAGCAAGGGGGTTTGGCTACCAGAGGCATGTGAGCTTTTATAGAGAGCAGGTTGCAAGGACAATGAGTATTATTTTGAAAAAGAGCAAGATATGGATGAAACGTTTTTTGGTTTTTTTTTCAAAGAGTGAAAGTATCCTCATATTTTGATCCGAAGCAAATAGAGAACTTTTGTCCATCAACTCGTGTATTGCTTTATGCTGTCCATTAATTGTGCCATTTTGATTGGTCATTGCAGGTCTGCATTTTTCTTCTTCTGTGCTGAAGAGAGACCTGCTGTGCGGGCAGCACATCCTGGTATAGGTGTTGCAGATGTGGCTAAGGAACTTGGCAAGAAATGGGAGGTGTGCCCCAACAAGCCCAAGTTTGAGGAACTGGCTATTGCAGATAAAGCCAGATATGAAAGGGTAAGGTGCTTTAGGGAGTTGTGAAGTGAGATTAGCTTTAGCACGCTTGCCAGCCGTTCAGAATTTTCTGAGACTCCTGGATGTGGCAGTTGGGAATTTGAGAGGACATTCACATATACTACACCAAACCAGTCTCACTTGATTTAATTTTGTTTGTTGTTATATGTTATCTGACATAATAACTTTGGCTCTCCCTCATTTGGTTTTGGAAAAGTTGGCAAGCTTACTTTTAGTGTTTTAAAAATATTTTTGCTTCATAAAGTTTAAACCAGACCTGTAAGTCCTGGGGCAATTACTGAAATTTAGTTCATTTTGATGGACTCCAATTTTTTTCCCTCCCTTGTCTGCAGGTTCTGAACAAAAGTCCCAGACCGACCAAACTTCATAAATTTCCAATTTGACTCCACAATCTAGATCTAGCTGTTATTTCTTTGCTGTGTAAAAGTATCAGAAAACATTGTTTCTAGTCATGATTAATCTCTGAAACACAGTGACCAGTGTGAAAAACAAATTTAAGTGGACATGGCTCGAAGAGACAGCTATGGAGACCTTCTGTTGGATAATAATCAGAAAATCATATTGCCTTGAATATTGTATTATTACTATCATTGCCAGAGGCCCCTTAATGACAAGCTCAGGCCCTAGAGAAAAACAGTCTCTGCTCAACCCAATTCTACTTCTAAAATTTCTTCTGAAAGAGATATTTGTAGCCTCGTGGGCAGTGCCACTGACTGAAGTGTCTTCAGGCCATTCCCAAAGGGGGGACATTTCTCGTTCTAGCATAGTAGAATTGTTAACGGGCTGACTCTTGTCACTCTCATAACTGCCTGATCCACAACAGGGAACTGCTGCTTTTTCTTTACTGATCCTTACTGTCATTTTCCTGTACTTCTTTTGTGTGTTTGTCACTCTCTTGTGACCTATTTCCGGGGTGCCTTGATAGTCGAAGCAGACCTTGTGCTGTTGAAGCTAGAGAGGTGAGCTGTCTGATTCCCTGTAAAGACTACTCTGTTGACACCCACCCTTTGGCACTCGTATGACCTTATGCAGTTGCGAGCGCCGTAAAACCCTCTACTATAAAAAAAAAAGAAGATATTTGTTGAGCAAAATTGTTATGTTGGCCAGCCTTTTCTTCCTTTGTTTGCTGTCAAGGGAGGGATTGGTGTCAAAATGTCATCTCCCGAAAGGTTTATTTCATGACAGAATAGTGCCTTCAAGTCATAGTTGAAGGGAGCAACGAAATGTTTCAGATTTAGGCTTTGCCTTTATGAATCTGGGAATGTGGGTCTTTCCACTTTCGTGATCGTACAGAATGCAATGACTCAAGTAACAGTATCAGTTGAAACATACAATGTCAGGAACAAATGTTTTACTTCTATCACTTTTCCTCCCTTCACTCACTCTCTTCCCCCCGTCTGTTGACAGCCTCTAGGTTCCTTCTGTTTCTAATCGTCTTAGAACTCTACCATGAGTTCTTTGGCAGAAGGGTACCAGAAACACATGTCCGTTTATTTCTCCAATCTTTACTCATCGAATGTCCCACCCCACCACTGTGTCTACTGGCCGTGCAATTGATTTTTCCACATTGAATTACTGAGAGCATTTTGGCATTGGTACTCAATCCCAGTCCGTTGGTGCTGAAATAGTGCTTAATATGTGGCTGAGTTAATAATTCATTTCTCCTTTTCATAATACTTTTAACTTTTCTAAGTTATCTGTAAAACTTGTTCCCACAAAAGTTTGGAATACCCACTATTTTCAATTTGGGAAAACTCGCTGAATATGACAGAAAATAAATTCATAAATAAATCATTGTGGCACAAACATTGAGGACAAGATATAGAATATTTTTACTTATTATGATACTGGCTTGCGAAGTTAACAAACATCCCTAGATTTAGTATTTTTTATATAATGAAGTGAGAAGACGTTGGTCCTCTTGTTGGTCACCAAAGGGAAAGTAGTTTTTCATCTTAACTACTGTTATATTTTGGAAATCTTCATTTCCTGCACTAGGAAAGTGATTAAACTAAAGCTTTGAAAATTATAGTGGTGTCCATTTAACAGCAACCCAGGTAAGAAGAGCAAAATCTGCCTTACAGCATCCTAAGCTTGTGTACAATAATGGAATTTTTTGTTTACAGATAACCCCCTTTTAAATCCACCTTTTCCTGATAGCAACTTTCTTTGCTATGAAGATTAAAAAACTGAACACTGACACTGGTCTTATCATTTGAATGTTTGTGCGTCCTTCTTTGGGGCCGAAACTGCACTACACTGAGTACAGGAACATAGTTCACACTCTCTTGGCAAGATCTACCTTCCTTCGAGAGTTTTGAGGGGGAAAGTATCTGGCGCCGTGCATGATATTACTGCTGATGTTCTCCCTGTCTGACATAACATCACATCTTGTTATTCTTGCTATTGGGACCAGTGGGGGGGATTTCATCTTTGAAGTGTACAAGCCCCATGGCCTGCTTCCCAAGGGGATTACTGTCAGGCAGACACCATTGTATTTCACATTATTTGAAAACTTGCTAAAACCCGGTTTCTTTAATATTTGGTATCAGGGCCGAGCTAATAATCCGTTTTTTTGTTCAGAACCAAGTCTCAGTGAGTTAAATATATCATATAATATATTTTTTTGGTTTTTCACCAAACACCATAGGGTTTTTTTTGGTGGTGAAGAATGTAACGAGGGTTGGCAACACCTTAGTTCCCTTCTTGTACTTCAACATTTTTGATGTTGTCGTATTCTATTTTTTTCATGCCTATTTTGAATACCTAATTTACCAGAATTTTTCCTATTTTTATTTATTGTGCTCTCATCATTTGATCAGGAGATGCAAGTATATCGTGGAGGTGGTGGGGCTAGTGCACTTCCTAGAGCGTCACCCAAGAAGGCAAAGACAGAGGATGATGATGAGGATGATGACGATGATGACGACGATGATGATGAGTAAATGTGTGCCATGTCATTGATGTACATTTTATTCTTACTCCTTGCCCACGTTGGTTATCACTTTAATGCATCCCATTTTTACATAATTTTTGTATATAGTGTCACATTTGTTTTACTTACTCTTTGTTGACTTTTCTCATCGATATTGCTCATCTCTGTCGAAGTGGCCTGTCACTACTGTTCTCCACCATGATATTCCACTGTCAGTGTGGAAAACTTGCTTTTCTAGTTATCAAGGAAATATTAATAGAAGTCTGTTAAGGGAAAAAGGTTATACCCTGGTTGCAAAAGAATGCAGGTGTTTGGGAGTTTTATTTTCCTTGATTTACTACAATTTGTAGAATCGGTTTTTACTTTATGTAAAGTTGCGCATAATCTGTGCATTAAAAAAGTCACCGACCAGGCATGAGTACTGGCGTTGTTTTCTATTGTTGCAGTAAGAGAAGCCTAGTTTTGTTATTTGCTTTCTTTCGCTCGTTAGAAAATTTTGTGAATGTAGAAAGAGCACAAAAAGAAACCTACTTGTTCACGTTTAAAAAAAATTTTTTTGGTGGTTGTCTATTTCCAGTTGGTCATGATGTCTGATAGTTGTTAACTTTCGCCCTGGCAGCATTTATAGCACTTTCTTTCACTTTTATATCAAGCAGATTTATAGGTGTGAAATGGGCAATTATTGGACTCTGCTGAGAGAGTGGTCTGTCAAAAAATGGTTCTGAACTGAAAGTTATGGTTTACTTTTTTTTTGTTTCTAGCAATTTTTGACTTGGTTATTCTTCTGTTCAAAACTTCTAAAGCTCTCCCAGTTTTTGTGATTTTGGTCAAACTGAAAAAAAAGTTCTTTTTTCCCTCTTTAGTGTGTGGCTTACTTATATCAGTTTTTTTCTTCCATTTGAAATTTAGCCCTTACAGCAATTATATTCCATTATTCATAAAGTTTCATCTTCAAATTTTGATTTTTGCAATGCATAAATGGTGATTTTTATGTAATGATTGTCCCTTTGACTTCAATGAACCAAATGAGGCTTTTGAGGTTAGTTTGCCACAGTGCCGGTTTAGTACTCGGGGTTTTGTTTGCTAACTTGTTCACTTTGTTGGACAGTTTTACACACGTTAAGTTTTTCAACTTATAGTCACAGGGAAGTGCAATGCGACCGACAGCTTTCTTGGTATTGTGGCCAATTTTTTGCAACCTGAGCCTTATTTGGTCCATTTTTGCGCATAAATATTTGGGCATCAGTCGTGGGGGAGGGGGTTGAACTTATTTTCAAGTATATGTGTGTGTTGCTAGAGGTTGAATATGGAAGATTGCTTTGCTTGCAGGTGTGTGAAAGGTTTTGATATGGCATCTCTCAATTAAATGTATATGTAGACTTTAGATGTTGTGATGTTACTGACAAATGTTGATCAAGGTAAAAATGCTGCACACTGTAAGCTCAGTGCCCAACAGTGATACATTGTTATTGATTTTTAGTTGTTTGACATTGTTGATGGTAGTAGCCATTTTAAAAAATTCATTTAATCATTGTTTCGCCAGGAACCTTCTTTTAGGGGTTAGTTTGGAGAAGGAGTGGGGGGGAAGGGGAGGGGAACACTGAATTGTCATTTACTACCGTATTTTTATTCTTCCCCTCCTTAGAACACATTGTCCTATTTCAAGTGGCGCAGAATTTTCAACTGCTGTCCCGTTCTCAAGTTAACAATGAGTGATGGGGGGAAAAAAAGGTGAAAATCACACCTTGTGTTTTTTGACATGTCCCTTTTTGAATTTCCGTCAGTCATTGATACAGTGATGTAAGTGGTAGTTTTGATGGCACGGGGCAGTATGATCTCAGTATGTGTAGAGCTGCTCTTTTCCTTTTCCAAATATGGTTTGTGAGACTCCAACAAAGACCTTGAAATTCATGTGAACTTGTATCTTGTGAAAAATTAAGGGATTTTGAAACTGTAATTTCCCGTCATGATCAATTTTGATTTTGATATTTTTTCTGTTGCGGCTTTGCATTCAGACATGTTTGTATCATGTGGAAATCCTCAGTTCATCAACATCACATTCTGTATGCCAACTTTATTTTGAACATTGAAATGTACATGACCAAAATTGTTCTTGGAAATAAAAAAGTTTTAAATTTTTCCCTGATTTCAACTCCTTTCGGCTCTAGGTTGTCTATGTGGTTGTTTTTCGAAACCGTCTGAGATGGTGGTTGGCGGGTGCTCTCATGTGGTTTACTCCTTTCTTATCAAACGTCTATCGGTCTTATCTCCCTGCTTTCTCTTTTGTGTTTGTTACTCTTTCGTAATACCTCTAATCTTCTCGTGGATGGTTGGCGGGCGCTCTGGTGTGGTTTGGTCCTTCTTTGCTTTCAAACATCTGTTGTCCTTAACTCTCCTCCTTTTTTGTTTGTGTTACTCTCTTGTTACACTTCTTATCTTTGGCACCTATATAAACTAATTGTGTTGCAAGTGCCGTAAAACTTTTACCAAAACATCTGATCTTCGGCACTTATGTCATTGTGTTGCAAGTGCTGTAAAACAGGTACTAAAAATTTAAAAAATCTCCTGACTGTTTCAATTTACTTTCTTAAAATGGCTATCCTTATCCTATTCTCAGCATAGCATCACATTTCACCTGATTCTGTGGCTTTTAACTTGTAGTGTGTATGATTCAGCAGCCCACCAGAGCTCCCCAGCTTGGGGCCATGGGGTTAATTCACCCTGAAGCAACTTAAATGATAAAGCTTCTTTCTCATTACACTACACACAGCAAACTATTTCACCTCTTCCCTATTCCACACAGCAGACTATTACACTGATGCACTAAAAGCTCAGCGTTTTTGAGATTTATAATATTCTTTGTTGGAATATGATTATTTTTTCTGTGCCATAGTTTTTGTTCTAGTTCTAGACACGTGTTTGAATTTGTCCGAGTGGGTGATTGGCGGGTGCTCTGATGTGGTTTGCTCCTTCCCTATAAAAAGTCCATCATCTCTATCTCCCCTCCTTCTTTAGCTCTATGTATTTTAATCTTTTTTCATGTCATATTCAATATTCCACCCAGTATAAATATTGATACGAAATGTATTGAACACGCTCCGTAAACTTTTGAGTCATGGGCAGTTGGTGTGTGATTTGCTCCTCCTTTTCTATCAAGCATCTGTGGTTCTGTTCTCTCCTTCTTTTGTAAACCTCTAATCTTCAGCACTTACGTATATGACCTTATTGCACTGCAAGTGCTGTAAAACATACAATACAGAAAATTTTGAGTCCCCATGCACACGACAATTCCTTGGTGTCTGAAAAATTACCAGCTGGCATTTCATTTATGATTTAATATAAGTTCCGCCTCATCTCATGTGGTGAATAATGAAATTTGTGGAGCGGAGCAGTCTTTTTGCATTTAATAAATTAATAGTCAAGCAGTGTACCCAATCATCTATTTTTAGTGTTTATTTTGTTAAAAGATTGCATACTTGAACTTAAACATCAGTATAATAATTGTAAAGTCTAGGCTGAACTTCTACTTCTAAGAGGTATGAAGCACCTCATCATACCTCTTGCGAAACCACTACTCTGCTTCAAATATTACTGCCGCAGAAAGTAGAAATAGGCACTTCAGTGAACGCGCTCACTGTGGCGTCATTTGGCTTCGGAAAGTCCCATAGGGTTTTGTTTCCGGACATGACGTCTCATCGCGACAGTGGGTTCAAACTGCCCATATTTTTGTTTAATTTAGGGGACCAACATTCAAGTCCGATACATGTCTTTAAAGACCTGTGGATGGCCTTCAAAACGCTTCTTTCCAGGTCGATGTGCGACTGAGTCTCGAAATATTT